ATTGCACCTGAGGGGCTTATTTCCATCCGGGCACGCCCGTGGGGTCCAGTTTCTCCTCCTGCCCAGGAACCTTCACTTTTCAGCCAAAGCAAGGAAAGAATAACACGAAAAGAGAAGAAAAAAGAAAAAGAAAAAAAAGATAAAGCACTTTTTTTTCGCGGAAAAAAAGAGAGTAAAATATCCGATTCGTGCGCGCAATTAAAATAAATAAATAAGTAAAAGGCGGCAAGTGGGACAAGCCGAAAATGAAGCCGGACCAAATTCGCCGCGACAGGTGGCGCGAAGCCCGCCCCCCCGTCGGAGGCGGATGACGTGGCGTCCCGACGAGCGTGACGTGGACTACTCTCGTTGGGGAATCACATGGCATGAGGGGTGTCGTGTCGCGTGGGCCCCCACATGGGGCGGTGTTTCGATCTCGGACCACCTCGGGCGAGAGTCGAGGTGGACGGTATTGCAAGCCATCGATTTACTGTTTTGTCCTTTTCTTCCATCGAGCACACGGTGCGTTTCCGTCCACAAAAATCCTAAAATATATATTTTTTAAAATATATTTTTTGAGCAACGTGTCCAGCTATCGAAGGATGCCGAATACAATTCACTTATATATCGATTTTTTTTTTCCTTTTTTTTTTTCTCTTTAAGTTCGGCGGTCCGAGTGGCGGTCGAGCCAGTTTTGAGCGATTTGGCCATAAAAAGGGGGGCAATGCCAAGCTTTCACAGGTGTCTAGAGGACAACGCTCGATCGCGACTGCGCATCGAATCTGTAGCAATTTGACAGCAGCAATCTGAGAATCCGTCCCGCTTAATGACGAAATTTTATGCTGAATTCTCGAATTCCGTTGTACGTTTGGACTTATTCTAGTGAATTACCGACGGGGACTAATGATTAACATCTCATTTGTCCGTTTTCCAGCTAGTGGCGCTGGGAAAATCTCCATTTTTCGTGATCGGCGATGATGGATTTGCAATTTTGCGAAAGAGATCGTCGGGGGGGAGCGACTTCAATCCTCTACGCTGTCTCTATCTTGCCATTTCGCATCAACATGGATTGTCATGGCGGGGGGATTTAAATCCTAACATGATACCGGAGAGATTACAATCGAGCGTGGCAACTTAGCAAAAGAACGAGTCATACCCTTTTTTTGTCACGAGATTATAAGCTCAAATTCGATCGCGAATGAGCTTTTGACGGGTTCGAACCTCGGGCATCTGTTATCTTCAGCTATAAAGATTTCCATGCCCGTGGAACTGCAATGACAAAGTATGTACATGTACATGTGGGCTGAGCAATCTGTGTGTGTCGAGCTTATAAATTTGACCAATGCAAAATCTTCAGTTGAGCATAAATCAATTGAAAACGATAAAAAAAAATGTCCTTTTTTTTTTTTGGTCAAAAGTAATAAAAAATATTTATTTCGTTTTTGGGATAATAGCACAAATGATGTAATGCCATTCTTGAACTTTTAATTTATACAATGTGATATCTGAACTTCGGTTCAATGTGCAATGTCATTCATGAATTTTTAATTTGTTCAATTTGGTCATTGAACTATCGGTGAATTTTCAATTTAGTCCATAAATTATACAAAAATATTTAAAAGTTCGAGGACCGTATTGAAAAATTTAAAAATTCAGAAACGATATTACACATTGGACCAAAGTTCAAAGACCACATTATCGACTGCAACAATTACCAAAGTACCCCTAAGGCATTTACAAGATCGAACCTTTCTTAATTTAAGAAAGACCGTAAAAAATCTGCTCTTTATACTATTAAATTATCATCTTCTATTATTTAGGAATAATTATATCCAAAAAAGAGTAATAGTAAGTGTGGGACGGTTTATTTCCAAATTTGATATACTAAGTAACGTGACAGATACTCATTGGAGGACTCTAACCGATTTTATTTGCGCTTAATTACATCGCTGCTTGATCCGATGATTTTATAAATCCAATCTTAATTTGTCAAACAAACCCCTCATTATTAAATTAATGAACACAATTGGTTTATCAACGCATCCAATTATTATGGGCTGTTGAACATAATTCACTTATGCTCCATCTTTCTTTTCTTCTCAAATTTAGCAATCGGGTCATGTCCGTGCTAGTTTCCATGCGATTCAAGACATCACTGTCTTAAACCGTGAAAATGGGTGTCACGACTTTTATAAGGTATTTGGCTGGCATCTCTTGTGTGCAGTCACTTCAAGACTACGACGAAGTTGTCTTGCCTCGTTTGAAGTTGCTGCTTAAACATATTTTGTTCGCACAACTAGTTTTGCGATCTATTCTAATGAATGGTTGACATCGTACTTGTCTATTTTTCCAGCTAGTGGTGTGGAAAAATCTCCATTGTTCTATTTTGCCATTACCCTTTTCATGATTCATATATAGATTCGCAATTTGCGAAAAAAATTGTGGACGATGGACTTCGACCTTTTCCCATCCTTTCGTCTTAACCATTCGATTCGATGTAGAATGTTTCGGCAGGTATATTCCAATACGAGAAATAGTTAGATTGGAGACCTGAGCGCGATAATTCAATGATAAAAAAAGGTCGCACATATGCTATTTTTAGGTGCAGAGAATCTCCGACTTTCGACACGTCGGTTGGGTCTGTAGCGACGAGCTCGTGAATCCACTGGCAGTTTGGGCTGTTGGTGCCCCGAACCGAACGTTTCGTAACGGGAATGATCCGAGAGATTGAGAATACTTATAATTACGAGAACACCCCTACCCCCCAAGATCGTCGAAGCTTCGCCCTTCAAAATTTCAACGGATGTCGTCGATTTCCTCTTTCTTTTTATAGCACCAAATCTTCATCCTCCCGGGATTTATTACCAAAATCGACGCGATTAGTAGCAAGTCGTAAGTGCGACCGGCGCTAGCCGAGCGATCCCCAACCGTTTTCCCGTTCACGCTTATCCACACCGTCCGATCGACGCGCTGATCTCCGTGATAACCCGATCTCGGTCCGTCCAGCGATTCGCCCTCGCCGAGGGCTCAGGTTGGCCGCGACGCAGGCGATCCCTTCCCACTTCTAGCGCCTTCCATCACCCCGCCCACACCAGTATTTACGCTCGTGCCATTCGAGAACCTTCCCCCCTCAGCTCTCCCCCCCCCTCCCTCCCCGCCGCCCGATCCGCCACGCGTACGGTCCTCGTTTTTCCTGGTCCGAGAAACCGCACCTAAAAGTAAAAAAATAAAAAAAAAGAAATAATTTATTTCTTTCCCCCCTTTTCCGGGGAATTTCGTTCCCATTTTCACCCCCCGAGTCCTCTCAATCTCTCTATTTATACCCCCTCCGGCACACGCTCACCCCTGCAACCAGAAACCGCCATAGCCAGCACCTCCCCAAGCTCTCTCTCTCTCTCTCTCTCTGAGTGCGCGAAACTTGACAGCCCTTCGCTTCCACGTCTGATGGCTCCCGAACTCGTGCCCGCCTCGGTGAAGCCCGCCGCCGTAAAGCCCCCCGCCGCGGTGGGGGCGGCGTCCCGGGCCTACGTGACGTTCTTGGCCGGCGACGGGGACTACGTGAAGGGCGTGGTCGGGCTTGCCAAGGGGCTGCGGAAGGCGGGGTCGGCGTACCCGCTGGTGGTTGCCATCCTCCCGGACGTGCCGGTGGAGCACCGGCGGGTCCTGGTGGAGCAGGGGTGCGTGGTCCGGGAGATCGAGCCCGTGTACCCGCCCGAGAACCAGACCCGGTTCGCTATGGCGTACTACGTCATCAACTACTCCAAGCTCCGTATCTGGGAGGTGCGTGGACGGTATCATCATATTAATGGCCGAAAAGTAAAGTCGGCCGTTACACTTGTACGACGTTTCGACGTATTCATCTGTCAGCATGAGTAGCATGCGTTAACGTTCAACAAATCTTGTTATTTGGCTGTAAACTGTCGTTTGAACCATGAATCTGTCGTAAAGTCTGTCTCTTTGCGTGTACTGAATGGTTCTTCGCGCTTTACCGCAGTTCGTGGAGTACAGCAAGATGATATATCTGGACGGCGACATCCAGGTGTTCGAGAACATTGACCACCTCTTTGACTTAGAGGATGGCTACTTCTACGCCGTGATGGATTGCTTCTGCGAGAAGACGTGGAGCCACACCCCGCAGTACGCCATCGGCTACTGCCAGCAGTGTCCCGGCAAGGTCCAGTGGAGCGGCGAGATGGGCCCGCCCCCGTCTCTCTACTTCAACGCCGGCATGTTCGTGTACGAGCCCAGCCTCGCCACCTACAACGACCTCCTGAGCACTCTCAAGATCACCCCTACCACCCCATTCGCGGAGCAGGTACATTGTTCATCTCGATCCGCCACCTTCCGTGCTCGACTGTAGTCCTGGTACGTGACTTGGTGGACACAATTCTGGCGATTTGTGCAGGACTTCTTGAACATGTACTTCGGCAAAATATACAAGCCCATCCCACTCGTGTACAACCTCGTCCTGGCCATGCTGTGGCGCCACCCGGAGAACGTCGAGCTCGAGAAGGTGAAGGTCGTCCACTACTGCGCCGCGGTGAGTGTTCGATACGTGTGATTGCCAATATAGTCGTTCAAAAACAATAGATTGTGATTGCCAGTATCCAATTTTTGCCAGGGCTCGAAGCCGTGGAGGTACACCGGGAAGGAGGACAACATGCAGAGAGAGGACATCAAGATGCTGGTCAAGAAATGGCGGGACATCTACGAGGACGAGTCCCTCGACTTCAAGAACTGCCCTAGCGCAGCGGCAGCGGCTTCCGGGGCCGGGGCCGAGCCGGTCAACATGGAGCCGTTCATCGCCGCCCTGTCGCAAGCCGGCGCAGTCCACTACGTCACGGCACCTTCGGCCGCTTAGCCCCCGGCTCCGATCTCCGGCCCTTATAGAGAGATTTGATGCAAATAACTTTGGAGATGCAAAGGCGTAGAGTTTTGCTCTGTCTAGGCAAGTGGGTGGGAGAATCTTCCTTAAGAAGGATCATAGTCTCATATGGTAAAATAGGCTACTTTAACTTGAGGCAATTAATGTTTTTATCTTTCTTTTTTTAGAGCCTTGTCACTCTTAATTTTTTTTAAAGGGTAGCGAAATATAAATATATAAGAAAGGCATATTGACTTGGGTTTTGACTCTTTCTTTTTTTTTTTTTCATCAAATTACGGATAAAATGAATGCACGAAAAGTATTTTATAATACATCTTATTTTTTCTTTTTTGATAATTGATTTTCCAAAGTCAAGGGTTTAATTTGGGATATTGGCTCGATTTTATTCGGTGCACTTTTCATTGTCGGTAGTTGTGCAAAACTAGCAATTGCGAATCAAAAGCCCTGTTGTTCGCACTTTCTAGAAAAGTACGTTTATCTAAATATAGGAAAAACTATAAAATTACAAAAAGCAAATTTTTGCTGGACATTAGCAGCAAGGCTCAGACGACGTCGTAGAATACCCAACGCGCAAGAAGATAATTGACGTCACGCCTTCGGACAAAGAGGCAACTCCACATTCATGAACATGATGATACTGAGATTTTTCGCAGGTCAAACTAATAATGAATCATTAATTAACCGTGGTCCAATGGCCGGTGGCAACTGCTTTGATTCAATAAAAACAATTGCCCTAACTAATCTTATTTAGTGTTTGGTGATGTCTTCTGAATCAGATATATTTAGATAAAATGCCGAATGAGAAATTCGGACTAAGGAGTGGAATAGATTTGGATTGATTAAAAATGTAAAAAAAAGAAAAAGAACTTAACGATTTCCTGCCAACGATGGAGTATGGCTTTGCCGGCCACCGCGCAAGGACTGCTACCACAACAACCTATCACGTGCAATCGCTATTGTCTCCGACCCACGGCGATCGTCATCGTTGTTCAGCCGATTGTCCTCCGACAACTGTCAAAATCGAATTGGCTGTCCCTGATGAATGAAGAGAAGAAAAAAGCCAAAACGCACATAGTTTTGGGTGTTCGTATATTAGTCATGAACGGTGGTCACCTGATTTTGTCATGATGCTTCGACATTCGATCCTGTCCTTTATTACAGATTTGAGACTCTGTGCTGACAATTGAAAGATTTCAAAGGAGAAAGAGGAGGAGCTCTGGCGAAAATGGTGATCGCTCAAAATGGTGCTAGTCTCGGCCTTGCGAGATTAGTCAAGAGGATGCTGTCTAGATTTGGAAAGTATCACTTCCGTGAGCAAGTGAGATTTTCAAAGATTTTGAATCCTATTTTGAAAATGATTTTGTACAATCTGGAGGATATTTGAAGGATTTCTGATCCTACCTTATCCTATCGTATCCCAATCTAAATCCGAACGATCAAACGCGGCCAAGAATCACCACAAGAAAGTAAATCATGTAACTGACGAGATCACCCCACCAGAACCCAAAAAGGTTATTTCAGTACACTCAGCAACAATGCAAAGATATACACATCCCGGTAAAGATAAGTCAAAAGAGCAGCTTGATGACTACTAATGTGATACCTGCTCCTTGCTCACCACCATCTCTATCTTGATTTTAGCTAAGAAACATGTCTTCAGAAAATTCAGGGCCTACGCAGTGGGACCAGCAAAGCTATAACAGTTACAGCATAATTCAAATGACATGTTGAATCCCCTTGAAGATACGAAGGAGCCAAATCCTTAAACAATAAGAACTCGAAGATATGATGAATGAGTGCGAGAAAAGTTTTGATCCAAGTTCGTATATCTCTAGAGTTCATAGAGGATTTATCGTGTGTCGGCTCACCTCGAGGAGTAGATTCTGACACCGGGATCGAACCGTATAAACTCAAACTTGCTTTTCTCGTTTATTTCTTATCTTTTATCTCGCCATCGTGATCGGTTGCACGATGGTCTTTCCACAACAGAAATTATATACTTTCACTGTCAGATAAATTTACATGTCGAAGGATTTTGCCTTCTGCAAGGGTGGTTGTTATTTTATGAAAAATGAGTATTTGGGTTCGTGGATGGGATTAATCGTTGACCTTTTCTTATTATTTTATGAAAGATAGTCCGAAAGGTAGGGGTGTCAAAATAACCCGACCAAACAAGACCCGACTCGACCCGAACCGATCCGACCCGAAAATTTTCATATTGGGTCGGGTTGGACCTCAACTTGTTTGGGTAACAATAAAAACAATTGGGTATTGTTTGGATTTATTGGGCTTTGGTACCCGTGCCCAACCCAAATAATAACCCAAACAATGAAACCCTAAGACCTCTCTTCCACTTTTCTCTCTCACTCTCTCGCCTCTTCTGCGTTTTCTGTCCTCCATCCAGTTCGAGTCCGACGGCAACCGCACCAAGGCCGTCGGCATGACCGGCCCCGGCGACACCGCGGTGCAGGGGAGCGGCCGCACCGGCGGGGGGAACAAGGGCGGGGGTTACGGTGGCAGGGGAAGGGGGCGGGGCTATGGTGGCAGGTCCTCGTCGTCGTCAGCGGGGGGCGGGGCATGGATTCACTAGCACGTCGCCGCCGCCGCCGCCACCGCCGTCGGGATGGTTGCCTGCACTGTGATGGAGGCGGACTGGGAGGTCGGGCATGGCAGACCGCCTTGAACGACATCGCAAGAGGCGAGGCGCGGAGGGGGGAGGGAGAGAGATGGTCTTCTGGCGATGGTGGTGGAGGGAGGGGGAGGAGGAGGAGGATGATGGGACTCGGTGATGCAAGAAGACGAGCGCGTGGAAAAAGTTGAAGAGACTTGACTAAAGTAGAATCTAGGATTCATTGTTTGAAACACGGCCCGACCCGACCTAGCCCGGCCCGATCGTGTGGTGATATCTTGTTCGGATCTTGTTTCGGGTCGGGTTGAACACACATGTCCAATATTTCGGGTCGGGTCGGGTATCATGAAAACCCGACCCGACCCGACCCGACCCATTGACACCCCTACCGAAAGGTATAAAAAGTGAGTTAATTAAGGGGAAGAAGACACAAATAGTCTTTGAACTTTAGCCCAATGTACAATTTAATCCCCGAACTTTTAATTTATTCAATATAATCCCTAAACTTTAGCCTAATGTTCAATATGATCCCCAAACTTAGTTTGTTCAATGTGATCATTGAACTTTTGGTACATGTTTAATTTAGTTCCTGAACTATATGAAAATGTTCAATATAATCATTCCATTAATTCAAATTCAGGGACTATATTGAACATTTTCATATAGTTCAAGAACTAAATTAAACATGTACCAAAAGTCCTGGGACCACATTGAATAAATTAAAAGTTCAGGGACTACATTAAACATTGGACTAAAGTTCAGAGGTCAAATTGCATATTAGGTCAAAGTTCATGAATTATTTGTGTCATTATTCCTTAATTAAGTGTTTCAGCTTTGTGTATAGTTATATATAGTGATGGTTGCCCAAACAAAAGTCTATATTTGGACAGGGTCAGCGTGTTAAACGATATTCTACACATTATTAAAAAAAAAAGAGCAAGCCCAAAAAAATCATGCCAATGAGTTTTGAGTTTTTGGATCTATGAAGGTTGGGTCTGGGCCATAAAGTTGTGGACATAAATGTGATAAAAATGACAAATGATTTTGCTCTTTTGGATCAATGAAGATGGTTGGGCCTTAAGGTTGTGAATCTCTCTCTCTCTATATATATTACATGAAAGTTGGTGGTCTAACTCCGCAACTTCCCATGCATCTGTCTTTCTCTTTGCACGGAAATGTCAGTCAAAAGAATTAGGCTTCGTTCGTTTAGTGGAAAATGTAGAGTTTTTGGAATATGTTTTTCAGAATGTCATTTTCCAAGAAATGAAGTAGAAAATATTTTCCGCCGTTTGGTATGGAAAATTTGATTGATTTTCTTCCGTGCACTCCTTTAAAGAATTAGGCTCCATTCGACGGGCGACCGGCCATAGGCAAGCTCTAGCTCGTTCAAGTAATTGACAACACTCCTTCTAACAAGGCACTTCATAAGAAGCCAATTATTCGGATCCATGTCTTCCTCTTGGACCGTCTATTTAACAATTAACCTAATCAACCATGGTCCAATGACTCATAGACATGTGTCGCGGTCCGAGGTTTTCTATGCTCAAAGGACCGTGAATCATCCGAGAAGTCCAGGCAAGCTTCTCCAATGTTCTCTAGAATATTTCAAGGGCGGGCAATATTGTAAAGAGTTAATACCACGAAAAAACCCAAACTAGTATACTTGTGACAAATTTTCCATAAACTAATTTTTCGACCACAAAAAATTGCAACCGGTACATATCTGACAAATTTACCTTTCGTTAGTTTCCGTTAAATTTTACCGTGAAATTGCTAAGTTGGATGATACGTGACAGTCGATGGATGTACCGATTTGGGATTTTGTCACAGGTTTACCAATTTGTGATTTTTCGTGGTATAAATCTAATTTAACTCAGGGTAAATTTATCACAAGTGTACTTGTTTGGGGGTTTTTTGGTGGTCAAAAGATTAGTTTGTGGTAAATCTGTCACAAGTGTACCATATTAGGATTTTTCATGATTAAAAAATTAGTTTGGGGTAAATTTATCACAGGTGTACCGGTTTGGGGTTTTTCGTATTATTAACCCTATTGTAAACGTACTTTATTCTAGAGTATTCCTATGCGGTAATTGATCGATTAAGAGGTGGCCTCTTATTGGCTGATGGTGAGATGGCATCTCCACCGTTAGGTCAAGGAGAGATCTATAGTTGTGGTTAAGCTTGTACTTGTATATAAAAGGGTATCCTCTCGTCATTTGTATCATCTCATTTTCACAAGTAATACAAATCCGTTGCTTCTCTCTAGAGTTTCTCTTTGTAAAGATCACTATGGGCGAGTGAGTATGGGAAAAGCTAACTTGGGAAGAAATTTCTAAGACCGCACGGGTAAGGGAACGGTAGATCAATCGACCCACGACAAAACGTTATGTCTGTCCATGGGGATAAGTCCATCCATGGGGACAAGGCGGTCAAGGATCGTGGGAGGGCTACCAAGGACAAGGCGTTAAGGCAAAGAAGGGTTGTGGTAGTTCGAGTTTGAGGGATGTGTTAGGTGACTTGGAGACTCGTGTGGCGAAGATGGAGATTGTTGTGCAAGACATCCAAGGAATGGTCAAGGTGTTGTCCATATGGATCGAAGGAGGCCAAACCGGAACG